CCCAAAAAAAAAAAAAAAAAAAAAAGAGAATAATCTGGGAGAGCTGCAAGATGTAAATTCCCAGGTCCCAGCCCAGAGATGGTGATTCTGAAGGCCAAGGGATCCCTGCCCTCCACTGGCCATAGGGCTCTGACCAGCTGGGCACCAAGGTGAACAAGGGAGGATCAAGGCCAGCACCTGCTTCTCTCTACTCCTTGCAGGCTGTCAGCTGGGATCTGCTCCAGACACGGCACTAATCGTCTCCTACAGCCCCTTTCTTCCATGGGTACAAAATCAGAGGCCCACAGAGGGGAAAGGACTTTTCCAAGGTCGCACGAGTAGGCTCCACCCCTTGGATTTCCATCCCTCCCCACCAGCATCCCTCCCCTCTCCTCTCTTCCCTCCACTTCTACATTTCTCACCTGCTGGCAGAGTCCAGTTCTGAACAAATGTCCTGGGGCAGTGCTAGGGCCAGGAGTGAATGGTTCTTCTGGGTCTCCAAAAAGTGAAAGGAGGCCACTTACCACATTGACGAAAACCATGGTAGCTGGCTTCACTCTTGAGGAGATGGGAATGGAGATGAGCCGACCCAGAGTGATGAAGCCCCAGAAGAGGCTGGGGAGGTAACCGGCCACCTTGTGTCCCACAGACAGTGGTTTCTCTACTGCATAGCTGTACACAAAGGCGGAGTATGCCCCCTGTGGGGAGACAGGTCCTGCTGAGCACACCTGCAGCGTACCCCCGCAGAGGAGGCCTAGCTGGGGCAGGTGTGGTGTGGGCTGGCAGGGACTGGTCCTGCTGCTAGAGGCTTAGGGGTGGGCTTGGAGCCAAGACCATGCGGCACACACAGGCCTGAGCTGAGAGTGGAACCTGGGCACCACAGCTTACAGATGGTGCCTGCAGGAGCTAGGGGATCCAGGAAGGTGTCTCTGGGTCCCTATGGGAGTCCCGAAGGGTCTGGTCATGCAGGTCCTGCTCCCCGCTTCAACTAGAGCAGAGTTCCACTACATGCCTTATTTATGAGGATTCCACAGAAGGTTTTTTGTTGAAGGAAGGGTGCTGCAGCTGAAAAAAAGGTGTGTATAGGCATCTCATTTTACAGATGAGAGGGCAGAGGGAAGTGAATTGCCCAAGGTCACACTGAGAGTTGGAAGTCAACCAGTACCGTCACGAGTACTTTCCACCAGGTCATCTAGGTTTTTAGGGCCTTTTCTTTGGAGAGTCCCTCATATGGCAACCAGTTAATCAATCAGCCATTCAAAACTGTCCTAATCCTTAGAGATTTCTGGAAAAAGGCACTAAACAGAGTAACAGAGGTCACTAGTGGACTGAATAGCTGGGCCCAGATCCCGCCTGCAGTTTGTTTACCACGTGGCTCGAGAAGCCCAGGCTTCGAATGTATTGCAGGAAGCAGAGTGCCGTAGAGTTTACATGGCATGACCTCTACCTGGGGGAAGAGGGCACTGCCCCTTTAAAAAATGTGGGGCTGGGGCTTCCCTGGTGGCGCAGTGGTTGGGAGTCTGCCTGCCAATGCGGTGGACACGGGTTTGTGCCCCGGTCCGGGAGGATCTCGCATGCCTCGGAGCTGCTGGGCCCGTGGGCAATGGCCACTGGGCCTGCGCGTCCAGAGCCTGTGCTCCGTAACGGGAGGGGCCGTGGCGGTGAGAGGCCCGCGTACCACAAAAAAAAAAAAAAAAAAAAAAAAGGTAAAAAATGTGGGGAGCCTACACTCAGAAACAAACCAGAGGCCCCTGTCCACAGAGTTCATGAAAATAAAAACAACTGAATGAGACAGGAGACCACAGTTCCAAGGGGCTGTATTCAATTCTGGAGAGACTCTCCCCTGGGACTTGTGCTTGGTTTAAATTTTTGGCCCACTGTAGTACAGGTGAGGTCTCTAGGAAACCTTGACGTTCCTCCTTTCTCTTACCATCCCCAGACTTGAGGCTCAGGGGGCGCAAGGGGGTGCCCAATAAGGGACACCGTCCGAGGGCAGGCTCACCGTCAAGCCGTCGGTCATGAACAGGACCAGGGCAGCTGTGATGTGGATGGCGAAGAAAGAAGAAGGGACTCCTTTGAAGTTCTTCCTCTGGCAGCAGCGGAACAGGTCCTCGTGCCCTGGATGACATACGAGAAGAGCAGGGACAGGTCTCAGCTCCTGCTCCCTTCCTCTGCGCACCCAGGGACGGTGGCCGGCAGTCAGGAGAGCCCTGGCAGAGGGGAGACCACTTACTGCCTCCCACCTTCTCCAGCTTCCAACTATCTATTAGGAACAGCCCCTGTCCATCTCACAGTGCTGTTGGAAGCAAGGCTCAGAGAGGTCAGGTAACTTGCCCAGGGTCACACAGGAGGGGTTAGGTAGAATGCAGGCTGGAGCCAGAAGTCTGCCTTCCTCATCCTCTTGGCCAGTTTGTTCCATCTCCTGCCTCCCGAGACCAGCAGTGCCAAGGGTTCTTCCCCAACCATTCTCACCTGTGATCTACATTCTCCCTCTGGGCAGGAGGGCTTACCAGGGAAGCCTCGGTATGGGGCCATGAGCCTGAGAGTTCATTAGAGCCCCCACCTGGGTGAAACTTAGGGGGCAGCGAGGAAGTGTCTTCCTTCTCAGGAGGCTGCGTCTCCAGGGTGAGCTCATCTGCAGACAGGAGTAGGGGCCTCCTCTGAGGGCAGCAGGTCAGCAGCCGCTCTTTGGACAGCAGATACAGCACAGCCATGGGCACCGGGAGCTGGGGGTGGGCAGAGGGTCAGGAGAGCCCTGTTCCCGTTAGGGTCCCCATTTCCCATGCCTGGCCTGCCACATACACCTCCACGTGGCTGTGTGGCAAATGTCTGCACAGTCCTGGGAGAAGACAGCTCTTTTCCCAGGGTGCCCACCTGGGAAATACAGCCAGGTGCAATTATACCTGGGCAGGCTTGGTGTAATTGCTGCCAGACTTTAACCACAGTCATTTCCCTGAAAAGACAGGTACTTGTCACATGCAAAGCTTGGACTCACACCGGGCCTCTGCTGGCACAGGAGGTGCTAAACTCCTTTCTAATACCCTTGTCCTGGGCAGGGCTGGAGCAGGGCCCCTCACACTCATTCATGCTGGCAGAGCATGTGATGCTTTACAAAGAAGTTTGGCTTTTGTTCTGTAAAACGTGCTGGGGGGAAATCATTAACTCCATTTTCCAGGTGGGGCAACTGAGGCTCAAAGTTATTACTTAGTCATAACTAAGTCATAACATTAGTGCCGGTCACACAGCTGACTTGAGGCAGCGCTAGACTGGCGCCCGGGCAACCTGATTCTGGCCAGTGCCATCTCCATGTCAGGGGCTGTTCTGGGTGATTGTTATACCTTATGAAGGTACAGAGGCTATCCTCAGGGAAAACAGAGACGGGGACTCCTCTGGGTTGAAAAATGCATGCTGTGAGCAACACACATGCAGAGCCCAGTGTCATGTTCACTGATATTTATGTTAAGCCGCTTCAGTTTTATGAACTCCCCAGAGTAATGGGAAATGTCTCCTGTTCCTGAGGTCGCCTGGAGAAGCCTTCACCACCTCCCTCAGGTGCCTTGCCTGTGTCTAACCACCCTCGCTGCCAGGATGCTCTTCATCAAATCTAACCTCTGCCCTTCCTGCTGCAACTTCATCCCAGCTCCTTTTGCTTCAGAAAGAGAGGACGCCCAGGGAACTGTGTAAGTGTCCCAGGGGCTAATGGGCTCCTCTGGGCTGGCAGGCGAAGCTGGCCTGGTAGACGGACATCAGGGGGCTGCCAGCGCCTGCCTAGTGCTGCCCTGGGGAAGCCTCCCCGTCGCCTGGAGGAAGGCTGGCTCGCATAGACATTTTCCCAAGTCACCTGAATGCCACCTCTGTGCTGACACCTCCCTGTGGGCACCTTGGGAGCTTCCCTCCACTTATAAATAAGTCAGACACACCCCAGCAGCATTAGAGCCATAAATCTGGTCTGAATGGACAGGACAGCCTCTGCCCTCAGGAGTCCTGGGTCTGATGAGGGAGGTGAAGCCCTCCCTGCAGTCTGATGGGAGAAACAGGAAACCCACACGCAGAGGCCTGTGGTAGCAGAAAGCCTGGGGGAAGGCCAAGGGGAAACAGCTGTAAAAGAGGTGTGCTCACGCAGGTTGGGCTCTCCAGGGAGGTGGGTGGTGGGAAGGACTTCACAGAGGATTGGCTGACGTTGCTGGCAGGAACACACCGGATCTTTATGAGAAGCCCATTCAGGGAAGGTGGGCTCTACCTTAAAAGTCAGAGAATGCCAGGTGGGCTGGCCTGTGTGAATGTGTTTTGCCCACATGCATGCACAGCCCATTCTCTTCTGGGGTGGGCTGTTTATCTTCAGACACAAACCAATGGAAAAAGTCCGGAAATCCTGCAGCAAACAAAGTGCCTCCAGTCTGCACCTCATGGGGCAAGAGAAAACAGACCTCACGCTTAAGCTGGCTGGACCTTCCGGCTTCCTGGTCCCAGAGTCTCAGCCTTGACATTGTACGGACAGTGCTCTTTGCCTTCGTAGGTCCCCTGTGGAGGGCACAGGCCCAAAGCTGCATTGTTTCCAAAACAATGATGGGCATGGGCAGAAAGGAAAAGGAGCAGAGGGAGAGGGGTATGTCTTTCAGAGCCCCCAGTGAAGAATCTCGTACAGGGCAAGTTACAAAAGAGAAGGGAAAATGAGCAGTGACTATAGGGCAGCTGTTAGGGGCTTGTGCTGGGGGTCAGGGTTCCAGCCTGGCCAAGCCTCTTACTAGCCCTTCATCAGGCCCTTGAGCTAGTGATGGTATGACACTCCTGCCCTGATGTTTAAATGGGACTGGGTGCCCTCAAAGGCCTCTTTCAATGCTACGTGTATAGCATCACTCTGAGGCCCAGCCTGCCTGCCTCAGGAGGGGTAGGTAACAAGTCTGCCTAGAGCAAAGACAGACTCCAAGTTGGGGTGACAAACCATGTGGCACCTCCATCCCATAGCCAGGTGGATGGCCACTTGGAATACTCCTCACCCCAGTGCGCATGCTGCTGGTGTTCACGACCATTCTTCCCAAGCTGGAGAGGAGCTGGCAGGGAGTGTGTCCCACCTCTCCCTCTGGCCCCAGCCTGGGCTAACTTGGGCCGCAGGGCACCAGAGGAGGTTTCCAGCCAGAGACCAGAGTCAGTCCTGACTTAGCAGGGCAGGATGAGAGCTGGGGTGCTGAGGGCCTTGGTATCTGACCCAGACACAGTGACGTGGTCTCCCTGTTCTGCTCCCACCAGGGCAGCCTTGGCAGGCAGGGTCCCTTGGAGGTCATCTTGTCTATCCTCCAGCCTCCACAGAGGGCCACCTCACAGCAGGCACAGGAGAATCCCACCAGTGATTGAGGACCCTGGAGAAGAGCCTGGTACGTCCTGCAGGGCTCTGTCCCAGGGTCTACTGGCCTTGGAGTAAAAGAGCTGGTTCCCCAGGGAACCTCTGATGACTTGGAAGTTGACCCTGATCTCATTGCTCACTGTTTCACCTCCCTTGAGAATCGCAATCCCAGGATGTCACAACTGAAGGACCTTAGAGGTGATCTCCTGCAGCCCCGTGTTCAGGTGAATCCCCGGGGGTCAGTCCTCCCCTCTTCTTGCCTTCCTGAAGGCATATCTCAGCCCTAGTATGTTTCTCAGAAACAGAAGAAACTGTACTGGGAGCTGGTATGGACTGCTATGGGTGACTGTCCACTGTCCCCACCCAGCCCTGCCCCAGTGGCACTCACATTGATCAGAGCCATGATCCAGAAGGCGTAGGACACGCGGGCCCCTGCCCCGTCCTGTGGGGTCAGCCCAGGGAGCGTCTGGTTGGACCAAGGCTGGGCCCCAGTATGGTGGTGGGCCAGGACCCTGGAGGCATGGAACAGGTGGCTGCCGGAGGTGGTGTTGGCTGTTCTATTGGTAGGCAAGCAGTTGGCCTCAGACAGAAAGGGGTCAGCAATAAGGGGGCTCAGCAGTGCACCAAAGCCCACAAAGAAATGGAGAACCTGGGAAGGGAAGAGAATCGGGGTGGGTGGAGGCATGACTCAGGCTTTGCCTGCCCCCCACCTTGTGTCCCATCTGGGGAGCCCCTGCCTGGGAGCAGTAGGGTGGGAGGCAAGAGAGGTGAGGAGTGAAGCTCCTGTCACCACCTTCCTGCCTGGGATAACTTGGTGACAGTGACCTGTCACCAGTGACCAACCCCTCCCTCTCTCTTCTTTCCCAAAGCTTAACCACCAGCTGGGGGCTGTTCCCAAGTTAGCATCCACCAGTTAACGCCCCACAGGGAACGGGGCTTAATAAAGGGAACGGCTGGACTGGAATCCTGGGTAACTGGGAGAAGGAAGGAAGAAGAAACACAGGGAGAGGAGCAGATGAGAGAAAACACCAAGTCCTTCCATCACGCCCTTTCCAACTTACAAAGAACCTTTTCTCATTAGCACTTAGATTCCTCTGACCACCTGCAGGCCAGGATCATCACTCCATTTTAGAGATGAAGAGACCTGAGTCCAGAGATAATGGCCCAGTATGGTCCAGCTGGAAACGGTCACACTGAACTCGACCCTGCTACCCTTTCTGGGTCACCGTCCTGGTCTCGGGGAGGAGATGCCTGGCCCGGGGGAGAAGGCTGAGGGAGCTCCCCTGTGCCCTGCCCGCCCCCAGCCCCACGCCTGCTGGGGGCTCACCTGGAGGAAGACCGCTGAGTCCTTCTGGTAGATCCTCACCAGCTGCATGTTGGCCACGGTGTCGATGCAGCCCATGGCCAGGCCCGCCAGCGCCATGACTGAGGCCAGCACCTTCACGTCTCGGCAGAAGGGGATGGCGGCGAACACCAGGGAGATGGCCAGAGAAGAGGTGAAGAGGGCCCATAACGACTGGGCCAGGCTGCAGTAGCAGAGGGTGCGGTCAGTGGAGGGGGGCCGGAGCCCTTCGAAGGGAGACCCCCCACCCCCCGTCCTCCACTCACTGGGTGGCCCCCGGGGAAGCCGAGACACTTCCCTTCCGCCTCTGGTCCAAGGGCAAAGGGAGCTGTGGCAGAAGCTCTGTCACTTGTTAGCTATGGGTCGTGGGCTCTGCCGGCCTCCAGCACTGACAGCCTGGGCTGCTCACCAAGTTTCATGCGTTTCTGCTTCCTGCTACCTGGTGGCCTGTCTCATTGGTACTGGCACAGAGGCGATGCGCACACCTCTGCAGGCTGATACAATCGACAGGCCTCTCAGAATAGCTCTCTCTTTCCCCTTCCTTTCCCCGCACAAGATCGACTAGGCAGCCTCCTGGGTGGCCTGACTTCAGGGATAGCAAGAGGGTCCCCATCTCCCCCTCAAGTGTTCCCCCCACTGAGCTGCTACATGGGCCTGACACTGCCACAACCTCACTCACCACTTCACGGTAAAGCACCAACACCCCAAGTACAAAAATGCTCTCTTGAAGAATTAATACATTATCATTATTGCCCTGAAAAACCTGGATGAGAGTGGTTAACCAGTCCTGTAGCACAGTCCTGAGGGCACGGGACCTGGGATCAGTAAACTGAGATAGGCAAGAGCTGTGGGAAGGTGTGGGAAAAGAAAGGAGAACTAACATTACAGGGTACATGAAAACAACGAACACTTGTTTACAGGGTCCAAGACATTTGGTGTACGTGACAACGCTGTGAGGTAGACCTTGCAATTGTGCCTCGTGTGACCCACGAGTAAACTGAGGCTGAGAAGGGCTAAGAAAGTAGCAGACAGATCCTTGACCCAAACCCAGGGCTTCTGACTTGCTGTTCCCTATGCCATGCTGCTTTCCCATGGAGGAGTGTGCACGTGTGTGTGTGTGTGTGTGTGTGTGTGTGTGTGTGTGTAAAAAGGCTGATGCTGGGAAACAGACCCAGCCAAGCTGAGCAGCCAGGGAGCATGAGGCCAGATTCTTCAGAGCCTTGGTCTTAGGAAGCAATGGCAAACAGCTGTAGCCACTAGAACATAAGCCCCCAGTGGACCCTCTGCTGGTGTTATGGGAACTCCAACTGCTTCCAGATAACTGCTGGCTCTGTCGTAAGCTTCCCAAGGCATCTGCTGTATCCTGTTCATTGTGGGACCCCAGGTCTGGACTGTGTTTGGCCCTGAGGTGTTTGATCCAGGGTTTCTGGATGTTGCTAGTGAAATGGGAATGCTTGAGAAAGGCCTGTCTCATCACCCCACACAGCATGGCCTGGAGAAAGGGACTAGAGACTGTTCGGAGGCTGATGTGGGATAGTATGGGGGTGAGAGAGAGAGAGAGCCAGAGACAGAGGTAACGAGATAAAGAATCTAGCGGGCCAAGTTGCCAGGAAGGTGCTGACTGGAATAGAAGGAGGCTCAGGAGACGGGGATGGGGTTTGGGAAGGGCTGGTGGCCAGTGGGCAGCCCTGTCCAGGCCTCTCCTCTCTCCAATTGGTACCCTCTCAGCTTGTTATTCCAGAGAAGGACACTCGGTGCCCAAAGGGGGCTCTTTCATTATCAGGCCCAGTGACAGGCAGGAGGGAGGGATAAAAAGAGAACAGGAGGAAAGGAGAGGCTGGAGGGAGGCTGGCTTGGGAAGTCCCCTCCCTGTGACTCCTGCCAACCCCAGGGCTGTGGTTTGAACTTGCAGCCTGCCAGCTGCGTTCCTGGGGTATCGGGCGGGGTGAGCAGGTTTGGGGGGCGAGGGAGATGGAGACCTGTTCCCAGTAAATGGGGACAGCCGCACCACAACGAACCCTGGGTTTGGATCCCAGGCTGCCCATCCTCCCCAGTTGTTTCAGCGGGGCTGTGCCTGGTCAATCCAAAAATCAGTCTGAACAAGTTTCTTTAGAATGGTATGTTGTTGCCAAGAAAAAAGGAGTCCTAGACACATCTCAGAGCCAGACTGAAATACACTAATTGTCTTGGTCACTTAATGGTTTGGTCAATGGCCCCTTCCAGGAAAGTGGGTAATTGAAAATTATAGAATAATAATGTCATTGCAGCTTTGGCAGCACGGATGTGGTGGGATTTGTAATCTGAAGACTGGTCCTAGGCCCACCTCTGCCACTTCCCAGCGGGCGGCTCACAGCAAGCCACTTAACACTTAGCCTTTCTGAGCCTCAGGTGCTCTGCTGTAAATCAGGGATATGAAGCACTGCCTCGAGAGGCTGCCTGCAGAGGGAGTGAGATGTTACAGTCGGTCCTCCTGTGCTCACTCACTGGAAGCTTACCCGCTCCCTGCAGGCCCTGGGCTGCCCCAAAGAGCGTCATCAGGCCCAGAGAAGTAGGCTCACTGGGCAGAAAGGGTCAGAGAACTGGAGCCAGCTCCTGCCCGACACCCCCGCCCCACCCATTCCTGATGCCAGACCCTCTGACTGCCAGAGTGGTATCGAGGACCAAAGAGTCCTACCCCCCATTTTACAGATCAGGAAGCCGGCCCAGACAGGGAAGAGAGCGAGTAATGCTGAGTGGGGACCCAGTTTCTGACTCCCAATCCAGCAAAAGGCCAGCGTGGTGTCGTGGAACGTCCCTCCCCTGGCCCTGGGTTCTGACGTTAATTCAGGCCAATGAGAGGAAGGGCCCCACTCCCCCAAGACAGTCTAGGGAACCCTTCCTCAGGAAGCCTGAGAAACGTCCAGGTTACTTTTTTTTTTTTTTTTACATCTTTATTGGAGTATAATTGCTTTACAGTGGTGTGTTTTGTTATTATTAACGGCTCCACACGTTAGGTGCAAACGGGCAAGGGAGAGCAGGGAGCCAGGTGCCTGCCCCGCCAGCTGGCTGTGTGACCTTGAGCACACTGCGGACCTGTCAGCCCCGGTGCTTTGCCTTACCCAGAGGGCACACGTGATCACCTTGTCCTGCCATGGGTGCCTGCTCTGGCCTTCCTGGTTCTGTGATAAGAGGAGGGGCTGCTAGGCTCCAAAGCAGGGGAAGGGCTTGAGCAAAACAGTAAGATGTCAGCCAGCTGTCCAGCCCTCCGCTGCCCAGGGGTGGGGAAGAATGCTGCTGCGGGCCAGCCCCATGCCACCGGGGTGAGCGACCCCAGGGCGGCACTCACATTCTCCTCACATTTTTACCTCCAGGGATTCCCCCTGTCCACCCTGGATAATCTCCTTCCCTGAAGGACCAGAGAAAGGGGCAGAATGCAGAACCAGGAGGGGTCAGAGGCATCCCCAGCTCCCCTCCACGCCAAAAGGGTCCGGCAGTCTCCCAAGAGAGGAGCGGGGCCCGGGACAGGAACCAGGGGACAGGACACCCCCTGGGAGTGAGGGCAGGCTGGAGACTGCAGCGCAAGCCAGGGCGAGAGGGAAGGGGTGACAGACTGAGGGAGGGGCAGGGGGAAAGGTCCCCCTCTAACTGGGTCCCCCTACACTGACACCCCAGCTTGTTTGACACCCTTTGTTAAGGCTGGGGGGACCCAGAAGGAGGAGCAAGGAAGCCTGTCTTTGGGGGGGATCCCTGTTAGACTCAGATCAGGGGAGCACCCTTGCATGACGATGTTTCCTGGCTCAATGGGTGCTGGACCCGCAGGGAGTGCTCCTTACACACTGGTTAAACTTGCAGCTCTGTCTGCCTGGAACACCTCTCCCCACGTTCTTTGCTTGCATGGCTCTCTCCTGTCATTCAGGTGTCAGCTCAGAGAGGCCTTCCCTGACCACTGAGCAAAGTAACCCCCAACTCTGTAACTCTCCATCCTTACCCCGCCTTATTTCCTTCATTTCATTAAAATGGTCCTCCAGAATGTAAGCTCCATTAGAGTAGGGACCTGTGTCATATTCACCCCAAGAACAGGGTCTGGCTCAAGAGAGATTTGTTCAATGAGCGAATTAAAGGGTGGGATGAGTTTTGAGATTTTTTTAATTAAAAAAAATGAAATATAATTTATATACCATAAAATTAATCTATTCAAAGTGTACAACTCAATGGGTTTTTTTAGTGTGTTCAGAGTTATGAAACTCATCACCACAATCTAAATTTAGAGCATTTACATCAGCCCCAAAAGAAATCCCTTCCCCATTAGCAGTCACTCCCCATTCCTCTCTGCACCCCACCCTCAGCCCTAGGAAACTACTCATCTACTTTCTACCTCTATAGATTTTCCTACTCTGACCTTTCACATAAATGACACCATAACAGTATGTGGTCTTTTGTGACTGGCTTCTTTCACTCAGCATAACATTGTCAAGGTTCACCCATGTTATAGCATGAGTCAGTACACTTCATTCTTTTTTATGGCTGAATAATATTCCATTGTGTGGAGAGACCACATTTTGTTTGCCCATCCATCCGTTGATGAACATTTGGTTTGTTTCCACTTTTTGGCTATTATGAATAATGCTGCTATGAACATTTATGTATAAGGTTTTTTTTTTTGTTTGTTTTTTGTTTTTGCGGTATGCGGGCCTCTCACTGCTGTGGCCTCTCCCGTTGCGGAGCGACGCGCAGGCTCAGAGGCCATGGCTCACGGGTCCAGCCGCTCTGCGGCATGTGGGGTCTTCCCGGACCGGGGCACGAACCCGTGTCCCCTGCATCGGCAGGCGGACTCTCAACCACTGCGCCACCAGGGAAGCCCCTGTATAAGTTTTTGTGTGGACCTGTTTTCAGTTCTTGAGGAATATATCTAGGAGTGAAATTGCTGGGTCAGATGCTGCCTCCCATGAAGAGATGGATTTTTAAGCAAGAACCATGTCTGGTGTCAGACCCCTAGGAGACCTTCAGCCCACGTTTGCTACATGCTGAAAGGTGGACAAGCTGCTGGAGGGAGAGGCAGAGGCTTTCTAGATGGGAGACTAACCAGGGTCTGGCTCAGAGAAGGGAACTGGCTTTTGTATTGTGATCCCAGAACCACAGGGGGCCAGCATCCTGGGGAAGTAGGTCAGATAGTGGCCTGGGGAACACTGCATGGAGACCGGGTTTCATGCAGTGGGCAGGAGAGAGTCAGAGGTGGGCATTGGGAAGGCAGGGCTGCAGGAAATTGAGAAAAAAAGAAAGGTAGAGAAAGAGATAGTTAATATAGCAAAGAGAAGAACTCAAGCCTTCCTTTAAGAGCATGTGTGCAGAAGAGAGTCCCAGGTGAGGCTGGGAAAAGGTTGGGGAAACTCTGAAAGCCATTTATCTGCCCTGATGCCTTTGAGATAAAGGGGTCTCCCAACCTGCCCAGGGTGGTTAAACAGGTCCCCATGAAACCAGGAATAAAACCCTAACCTTTTGTCTAAATACCCCTCCTCTTTCCTATCTGACAAAGCACATATCTATACAGCCTGCTAACCAGGTGGCTTTGGGTTTGTCTCTTCTCTGAAAGGCTTCCTGCTCTCTATAAGCAAGGTTTTTCTAAGGAAGGTCTAGTCCAGGTTTTTCTGGCCCTAACTGCACGCTTCTCCCTCTTGGCCTGCATGTGGTGGCCTCCTTCAAGATCTCTGTCAATGTCAGAAGAGAGAGAGAGAGAGCTGGTCCCATCCTGAGTGGAGGGCTCCTGCCCTCCTCTGCACCCACTCTAACATCAAGGCTCTCTACACCCAGTCCCTCTAATGCATGTCCCTTTGGAGGCATCCAGAAACCCTGCTCAGCCCTGGAACTCAGTCTGGGCCAAGGAGTAGGCAGGACTTGAGCAGGAACCCTAGAGAGAGAGTGCTGCTCTGACCCTCCTCTCCCTGGTGTGTGTCATCCCGCAATGCTCCCCACTCCCGCGCAACAGCTGGCCCTCCCGTCCCAATTTGTTAAACCAACCCTCCTCCTGCAGTACCAGACTAGCTGCACCAGCAGTAATCACGTAAGCTGAAAGCACTAGCAGTGGTATTAGCATTTTAACTTGTGGTGAAGCCCCAAGGAATCAAGCTCTAGAGGCTGGTTTCAGGGCTGGTGGAGATTCTCTTTGCTTTGGGGGATGGAGGATTGCGATAAGCTGTCCAGCCCTAGCTGGGTGACGACTCCTGTCTACACACAGGCCACCCCTGTGATGTCCCTCTATTTCCACTGAAGTCTACTTTGCTCTTAACCAAGGGAAGAGGTTCTTGAAGACATTTTGTCTTTCGGTGGGACGACTGAGGTTCAGAATTGAAACCTGAACCACTGATGGGACTACTCCCCCTACTCCACTCTACCCCCACCCCTCAGATCCCAGCCCGAAGCCCCAGAGGCCCATAGTTTCCTTCCCAGGAGTGTCAGCTCAGGAATACTCAGCCCATGAGTACACACAGGGATACTCATGCCATGCCTTTGCCTGGTGAGTATAGGTTGTAACTTGTACCCTTCAGAGTTGAAGCTGACTACTATGAGTCAGCTTGCTTTTTTATGAAAAAGCAAGAGGGATTTCCGAAGTATCTTGTTCTAGACACAAATGTGCGGGTTCATATCCTCACTAGCTTAATAGCTGTGTGGCCTGGGGCAAGTTTCTCAACCTCCTTGTGCTTCAGCTTCCTTATGCACAAAATGGAGATAATAGCACTACTCTACAGGGTTGTTGTGAAGGTTAAATGAATTGATACAAGTGAGGTACTAAGTAAGAGCAGTGCCTGGCATCGCCTAAACACTCAATAAAGCTAGTTATTATTGCTACCGTGATCATTCTTTTCTGTGAGCCAGTTTCCTGAGGCAAGACCCTTTCCACTGCCTGTTCAGAGCCCCTCGTTGAGTAAGGAGCCCTGAGGGAGGCACAAAGCAAGTTAAGGAAGAGCTGGCCCAGCTTGTTGTGTATCTCTGCTGTTTTCACAAAGCCTGGCATGCCAACCTGCCATTTAGAATGATCCTCATTCCCTTCCCTGTTCTTTGCACTACACAGGCTCCTAAAAAGTTCCAGGTAAGGGAGCTTTTGTAAGTCAAAATACTTGAAAACAAAACCAGAAAAATACCCTGACTGATTTCTAATTAAACCTCTAGGCAGAATTAGAAAGGATCTGGAGCTTTTTCTTAAGATTTTCGGAGTCCCCTATGCATGCAATCCTGTACAAAACCCACAGAGACTTGCTTCTCAAGAGGACACTTGGGTTTACATGAGGATTTTGGTAGTGGGGATAATCACTCCCTAACTGACGCTTTGTCAGGTGGGTGGCTTAATGTGGGGTCTATACGTACAGACACCTATGCTCCTCTCCATCAGCTCTAGAAGTGAGGTGGAGGGGGAAACCCACCTCACAGATACCTCTAGCAGTGAGCCAAAGGGCAGAGCCCTTGCTGCAGAATGGCTCCCCAGAGGCTTCAGCTGTGGTTTTGTTCCCAGGCATCTGCTTGCTTGAGTCCATGCAGTCCAGGAAACCACCCAGCCAGAAGCCAGGACTAGGGAAACCTCCAGCAGCCTCTGACTTGCAAGTCATCTAGCCCCTGCTTTGGGTCTGCTCTCCCAGTTGCACTAGGAGAGTGAATCCTACTGCCTTTCCAAAGGGCTCCGTGGAGGTGGCCCTGTCGAATTTGAGCCGGGAGATTAAGGCTCTGCAATGGTATCCAAAGGGGCATCTCTCGGGGCCATGCCAGGCAGAGGCCAGGGAGGAGTAACATGGGGTGGGGGAAAGCGGAGGGGGATCCTGGCACCAGAGCTGGAGTGTCACCTCACTAAGCTATGGGTGAGTCACCCTGTGCCTCCCCTACATGAACCCAAGTGCTAAGGTCCTGTTTGTCTCAGAGGCAGAAGGGTGCCACCTCCAGGGGCCGATGCAGGAACCCTGGCTCCCTGAGGAGCAGGACCACACAGGACCCACCTGCCCCGTGGCCGCCCAGGGGAAGGGACACCCTGTGTCAGCTGATCTGGAGCTGAGAGTCTGAGTGGAGCACACCCCAGGGCACTCTGTCCAGCCGCAGCCAGCTCTGGCACTGGGCACGGCCCCTGAGGTGACACTCCCTCTCCTTCCACCTCACTTCCAATTCCGTCGCCCACCCCCGGCAGCAGGGGCTGCAGACAAACCTCAGGTCTGCTGTGCAAGAGGGCGACCCTCCCACCTCTGCAAACTCCCTCACCCCTCTTCCTCGGGGTGTGGGTGGGAGAAGAGGGGTGAGAGCTGAGTCTATGCCCTCACAGGGGTGAGCGAAGGCAAATAAACAATCCACAAGTCACCTTCAGCCTCCAGAGAGCGTTTTGCGGGGAGGGCTGGGGTGGGGGAGGGAGGCAGCCCTCCAGCTAAGGCTGGGCATGGCTAGCGTAGCGGGGAGGGGTGGTCGCTGCCTTCCAGAAGGCAGGGACAACCGGCGGCCCGAGCCCCGCGGGGGCAGAGACGAGCGTGGCGCGAAGGGTCGGAAGGGTCGGGGGCGGCGGCCCTCGGGCGCGCGGACCGGGCACTCACGTCCTCTTGAAGACGCCCCCGAGGGCGCTGCCCAGCAGGAGGCAGAGCTGCTGCGAGAAGAAGACCCAAGAGATCTGGGGCAGCGAGCTGTGCGTCTGGCAGCGCAGGTCCAGCAGCGTGGGCCCCAGGAAGGCGATGCACAGGCCGAAGCTGAAGAAGACGCTCCAGTAGGTGAGCGTGGGCTGCAGGTTGCGGCGGAGCAGCCCTGACACGCGGACGTCGCAGCCCATGGTCCCGGCTGGCGGCTGCCGGTCAGGGCGCGCGCGGTGCCGAGTGCCGCTTCGCCCGCGGGAGAGCCAGCAGGGCTGGGGAGGCC